TTCTTCTTCTTCTTCTTCTTCTTCTTCTTCTTCTTCTTCTTCTTCTTCTTCTTCTTCTTCTTCTTCTTCTTCTTCTTCTTCTTCTTCTTCCTCTTCCTCTTCTTCTTCCTCTTCTTCCTCTTCCCTCTTTCCTCTTTCCTCTTTCCTCTTTCTTCCTCCTCTTTCTCCTCCTCCTCCTCTTTCTCCTTCTCCTTCTCCTTCTCCTCCTTCTCCTCCTCCCCCTTCTTCTTCTCTCCTGCCCCCTTCTTCTTTTCCTTCTCCTCCCTCCCCCTTTTTCTTCTTCTCCTTCTCCTCCCCTTCTTCTTTTCCTCCTCCCCCCTTGTTCTTCTCCTCCTCCTCCCCCTCCCCCTTCTTCTTCTTCTCCTCCTCCCTCCTCCTTCTTCTTCCTCCCTCCCTCCCTCCCTTCTTCCTCTTCTCTTCCTCCTTCTCTTCCTTCCTTCTGTTTCTCCCCCCTCCGCTCCTTCTCTCCCTCTTCCCCCCCCTTCCTCGGCAGCTGAACATAAAGAATAAATTAGCCAACAGAAGAGAATATCTGCAGCTCAGGATTGAACTGTGGAGTCCTTGGTGTTCTCTGGGCTTGGTTGTTTGCAGAGTTTGCCTTGCTCTGGTAATGAAACGTCTGCAAGCAAACGACCAAGGTCAGAGAGCACCAAGGACTCCACTGAATAAAAGGGGTTATAATGCCAAAGTGCTGCTAATTCACCATGTGGTTAATACAGCTGACCCAAAGTGCGTTATCAAGGTGCACCATTTCGGTTTTTGAGCTGGAAGAACAACTGAGGGACATTTTGAACAATGCTGGTTGCAAGGATGTTCAACCTGGCACATATCCTGCATTCCAGAAGTGATCAAATCAGGTTTTTTTTTCCTAGGAGACATTTCAGCGTTGGCCACCAGATTTACTCTCCAATTCTAACCAAAGTGGCAGCAACGTAAAACTTCAGTCTTGTATGTGCTTAGAGTAGTGTAAGTCCTACTAGTAGTATGCTTAAAACGAGACTTTAGAGTTAAAGGGGAAATCTGATCCAGTGGCTTCTCCCAGATCTGAAATAACTGCTATGTGAGCAGAAAGTCTGCACAATGCTGCTGGGTCAGATGTCCTGGAGAAGTTGTGTTTTAGCTCATCTGGACTGTTTCAAAACTGCTGGTTGAGAAAAAAATTATGTTAGAGAAACATCTCTTTCTGGTTTATTTATAAGCTGACTTATTTGTTTTCTCTGACCAATTTGTACTGCTGCTTATTTCAAACTGACTTTGGGTCACTACCGTAATATGGCATTAAAACTCAGATTCAGCTATTTAGAATAATAAACATGCACAACAGTGGTGGGATTCAATTTTTTTACCACCTGTTCTGTGGGCATGGCTTGGTGGGTGTGGCTTGGTGGGCGTGGCTTGGTGGGTGTGGCAGGGGAAAGGATACTGCAAAATCTCTATTTCCTCCCCACCCCACTAACCTGATTTCCAGCTCCTTTCTCCTGTGCAGGGCAACCAAAGAAGACCTAGCCAATCAGCTAGGACTCAGGAAGCAGAGAATAGATGGGGGCGGGGCCAGTCAGAGGTGGTGTTTGCTGGTTCTCCATACTACTCAAAATTTCCACTACTGGTTCTCCAGAACTGGTCAGAACCTGCTGAATACCACCTCGGATGCACAAAGACAAAAGAGAACAGTTGTTTGAAAATGACCTCTCAGTCTTCTGGGTCCAATTAATCTCTCAATCCCCACACCTAGGAAAAGAGTTATGTTTTAAAGCTTTACAAAATTATAAAAGCCAGGGCCTTGGAACAAAAAGAGTTAAACTCTTTTTGAGGTAAACCAGATTAAGAAACCAAAGTTAGGATGTTAGCACCACTTACAATATTAAAAATCTTTAATCTCCCCATTCCCTCCTTTTATTTTCTAGAGAACTAAGAGAGGTCAAGTCTTCAGGTTTTTTTCTCAAATTACATGTCTGCCTCAGACTCAGATAGCTTTTACCAAATATCCGTTATCTTGGTTACCATGAAGGCCGTTACAGGTGACACCCGTCATCTTGAATTACACCTGGAAGCCCACTGGCAATCAGTGCAGTACAGTTTGCAGAACAAAGGTGCAATTTAGGTGTATCATGGTGTCCAGGGCAGATCATGCTTCATGTAGAGTACATTGAAGTAATCCATTGGAGCTAGCCAAGGCAGGACTGACCTTGAAAAGTATCTCTAGTTTCAGGAAATGCACAAAAATGAAGGTATGCAAAAGTTCTAGTTGTCACCAGTTCTTGTTCCTTTTCTCCTCCACCACTAGTGGTAAAATCTCATGTCCAAAAAGTTTTTCCTCCGCTGTTGATGCAATTGCTAGGTGTATTATTATATTTGTAGCGATTATGAACTGGATACATACATTTGCAAAGGCACCTGTCAACCATTGATTGACATCCCTAACCCATTTAGTGGGGGAGGGGGAGAAGAAAGGGAATAATTAGATGTGATCAATTGGTGTGCAGATGGAAAAGGAACAAGAGCTGCTGCCTGTCCATCATTCCTATGATAAACAATAACATGTGTTGTTTAGTGATCAATATATAGAACACAGAATAACAGAGCTGGAAGGGATTTTGAGTTTTCTAATCCAATCTCCTGCCCAAGCAGAACAGCCTATATACCATTGTGGACAAATCTTTTCTTCAAAACCTCTAGAGATTGAGCTCTAGAGCACTGGCGTTTTGGAAGGCTAGGTGTTCCATTGATTAATTGTTCTCAGTGTCAGGAAATTTCTCCTTAGTTTTAGGTTGAAGCTCTCTGATAAATTTCCATGTTGCATTAATCTTGCATTGACAGACTAACCTCATGCATTTAAGTTGCTGCACTATGGAGACACAACCTGTGAGTTCAGCAAATATTCAGAACTGGATTGATTTTGGAAAACTGGCTAGGTTAATTGTTCTTATGGTAGATTCAATTGACCATGGAGAAGTATGAATCCAGTCAAAGGTGTTACACTGTTCTCTTTTAGCCTGCATTTACTACAATCCCCTGTCAATTTCCAGATAAATAATTTCCAGTTAAACATTACCCATGTAGCTGGGAATCTGGGAGTTTTAGTCCAACCATTTGGAAAGAACCAGATTGGTGAAGAGAGAACACTATGATTGATTTGATCATTTCTAACTTTCTTCAATTGCAGAAGGAGGAGGAATACATGGAATATAATCCAATTGGATTCCCACACCCTGAGCTACCAACCCTTATGGAGTAAAAAAAAAAAGTCCCACTGTTATGTCTTACAAAGATAATGAAGTGTTGTATCATTCTCTGTGTTCTTTAGAATTGATTTTTTGCATACATTTCTCTAGGTATTGGCAAAGAAAATGTGAAAAGATGCTATAAGGAACTATTTATAAGGGAGGGCCCTTAATTCTAAGAAATGTCAACAAATGTTTTAAAGGCTTCCCACCTGACTTTCTTTGCTACATTTAAAAGCCCCCTGAGAAGTGTGAAGATAAAATGCCACCAATTTTTGCAAGTAAATACTTTCCCCACAGTGCTGGCCATGATTGCAAGTTACTGTGACACTGTATTGGGAGAAAGAGAGAAGCTCCAACCAGTGTATGTAAGAGGAGAAGCTGTAGGAACAGAACACTACACCTTGGAAGCAGGGGCTTTAGCAATGGCTGGCTCACATCCAAGAGTCAGGACAAGGCAATACTTCCACTCATGACAAAACAGACTGTCCGTAAAATTCAGAAATAGATCAACGTGCTTCCAAACACAGTCAACAACATGGTGTCAGTTACACTGGAAGGTGATCTTGAAATGCAAAATACCACTGCAGAAGAGCTCAGATTCAGAAAAGTCATCAACAAAGATTTTGTTAGTCCCCCTTTCTTTTGAGTTTCTATTTCAGGCTACCAGTTGAAATCCTAAATCTTTGCAAGATACTTTGTATTTTCTGTACAAAAGCCAGAGGCTTTTAAATTTAGGTTACACAATACAGTTCTTATAGTCACATAAAATCTTATGCCTAAATAAAACATCTTATGATTTAAGCTAATGTATTAATTCACACAAACGTGCTAATAGCTAGAGTCCTATAACATGCTGAATTATCAATTATCCAATCTATTTCAGTCTAGTCAAAGATGTTTTGGCCAGGGTATCAACTAGTGTTTTTAAAACACCTGAACATATGGAAGAAGTAGTAATTATCACAAATCCAATAAAGCCTAGCTCCAGGCAGTTGTACTTGTTTAATACACTAATGAGATTTCTCTGGTTGTTTGTGAATCACCGTTTATAACAGATTATTCACTCCTTTGTAACTCTGGATTTTCTTTTACGTGTATGTCTAAGTGCATATAAATTTTGATTTAGCATAAGTCATCTTCCAATTTCTATGTGGCATTGTCCTTGAAGGCCACCTGGAAACTATAGCTCAAAGTTATAGACGTCTTAGTTTGCCCATATGACGCCTCTTCTCTGACACCTACACGGGATATCAGTCTGTTTC